AATCTGATCCTCAAATTTTGATTTCCATATCACTTTTGGCCTCCAAAATTACTACCCCAGTTCCTTAAACTTTCGGCACTTTTGCATTTTGGTCCCCAACTTCACAATTTTGTACGCTTTTGCTCCCTTTTCACTTCCTTTTGCCTTGTTATCTTACCTTTTGGGGTTAATGACCTACAAAAGCCAAAATTACCCAGTTATGAGTCGATATCCGCTCCTTTAATCAATAATTAGCTTGTTAAAGTATCTAATAAGTGTGCGAAAACACAATTATCACAAGGATCTTCTAAACATTGGTACAGGTAAATGATTTTCAATTTTATCGGTTTTCTATTAGAGGTGTCACTAATGGGAGACTTTTTCTTTTTGCAGGTCTTTTAATACCAAGGTGAAAGTTGTTAGGCGATTTGTTGTTAAACGATCTCCCCCAGGCTATGATGTTACTCAGTTTTTTTCAGTCGATTTAGCCAAATAACTGAATGAAAATTTAACACCACAATCAAGGCGATACAACCCAAAGGTTAATTAGGTCAATTGAAGCAATCTAAATAATTTAGTGTTGCTCGTGGTCCAATCCGCTTTCTTAGATGGCCATAATTAAAAGAGATTACTTGTGAATCCATTTACTTACTTATTGGGCCTCTACTTTGACTAATAACTTAGCTACACTTACCATATTTGGGCCATTATTACTTGATAAAATGGGTCGCTTTCTTTCTTGGTGAGAGACGTCCTCTACCTCTCTCTATTCAGCCGGTTTCTGCGAGATTCCTTCTACTAATTCTGCCTCCTTTTGATTTCTACTTATAGTGGTGATAATATATGAGATATAGTGCACCTTCGTGGTCTCATAAGTAAACTACCTCATTGGCAACCGGAAGTGAAAGCTTGGTTATTGTCTTGGGTCGTTGTTGTTGGGTTGTGGTGTTAGAAGTTGAAAGAAACTGAGCCGGGGCAAGCTTTGGTACTCAATATACGTTCAACAGTGACTTTATATCCCAAAATCAACCACTTCTTGCATAAAGCTAGACATATACTTTGCTATCAAATACTTGCATCTCAAAACAGCAAATAATTTCAGACAGGAACAGAGCCTCAGCATCGAATTTCTCGAAACAGCAGCCCTTACATCAAAGCCAAGTATAGAAATACAGTTCGAATCCCAAAAAAACAGACGCTACTTTTTTGCTATAATTATCTCTCAGTTGCCATCAAGAAGTTCTCAGGGGAGTTAACTGTAAAGGAAACTTCCCTGCAGCTTATTTACAAAGTTTTGGACCCTAATGCAATCAAATTATAAAAACATTGGCAACAAATGACATAATTGAAAAGAAAGAATACCTTGGCTTCTGTAGTTGGATTCAAAGTATGAAAAAGAACTTGTATCTTGGCGCCTATTTGATGGTTCCATGGGAAATCTTAGTTTCTACCATGAAAGCCGATAGTCCAAAGTTGGCAATAGGGCAGTTCGATATTTCTGAGAATGAGAAGTTGGTCAAAATTTATCCGTGGGACTGGCAATCAGTACTCTAACCCAAGATATATCTCTTGATCAGTAATGAATGCAAGCCACAAGAAAATATTTGAATCCAGACACCAAATCAGTCATAAAAAAAAATGCAATAGAATTGAGCCGCTTACACATTTTAAGTTGCTGAAAAAGCTAGCAGTGTTCATATCAGTCTCAAGCCACTTCTACCCTTGTGCGACACCTTCCCAATCCACATGAAATTCTCACTGTTCTTGAGGATAGTACTTCATAGACAAAATATGAAATGCAACAAAATGAAGCCATTCATGTGCTGCGAAAATTAAAACCCAAACGATTTTTCACTGATGCCACTCACTTTTCTCTTCCAGGAGTTCTCAAGAGTTTAGAATCACTCAGACCCCTAATCTTTTAACACTTCAGAGATATGTTGGGCATTATGGTATGGGTATGCATGATGCAAAATATTGATCTACATCTTTGAGTAATTGTTTATCAATTACTTGTTGTCAATGATTTCGAATCGGAATGGAACAGGAGGATTTAATTTATTAAGTTGATCAGCAGCCCATTCTCCCAGCTTCAAGCTTTTATATTTTCGACTGTAATCAAAAACTTTGATCAACATTGGGGCAGTGGGCTCAAATGGCATCTCATTTATAAAATGATCAAGCTCATCTATACATCCGTACTGACCATATAGCTCAATCATGGATTCATAATGCTCCAAACGAGGTATCAGACAGTGTTTATCAGTCATTGATTTGAAAAACCGCCGACCCAACTCAACCCGGCCTTCGGAAATACAAGCAAGCAAGATTCCTTGAAAGGTGACATGGTCTGGCTTAGCACCTTGCTCCTCCATGGATGCAAACAATTCAAGTACCTTCTCACCCCTTCCATTATGTGAACAACCCAAAATCATGGAATTCCAAAGTATCACGTCCTTCGAAGTAGCCTCGTCAAAAACTTTGAGAGCATACTCAGGACAGCGACATTTGGAGTACATATCCACTAAAGCTCCTCTTATTACAGCATCCATATCGTAACCATTTCTAATCATAAATGCGTGAACCTGTTTACCTATCTCAAGTGCAAATATATTTGCACAAGCAGCCAAAATTGTTCCAAAGGTATATATGCTTGGCGTTGTCTCATCTAACATTTTCCAAAAAATCATCATGGCTTGTTCACTCATTCCATGACGAGCATAGCTTGTTAATAAAGCATTCCATGAAACATTATTTCGTAAATGGCTCATCTCACAGAACCAAACTCTAGCACTCCTCAATTTACCGCACTTTCCATACATGTCGAGAAGGGCATTCGCGACAAAGAGATTGGAATAGAAACCATGCCTATAGATATATCCATGAACCTGTTTCCCCAATTCAACATCTGGAATTGCAGCACATATGTTCAAAATTAACCCAAGAGTGACATGATCGATGTCCTTAGTCCGTTTACGCATCAGAATAACAAAGTCCAATGCTTTATCCCACTCAAAGGAGCCCACATAACCTGCCAGCATCGCATTCCATGATATCACGTTTCGCTCTGGCATCTGATTGAAAAGCTCCCTGGCCTCCATCGTTTGCCCACTCCTCGCATACCCAGACACCATTGCCGTCCAACTAATCAAATTTCGGGAACAAGATAGGTCAAAGACTGTCCTGGCACTTGCCAAATCTCCACACTTCGCGTACATGCTAATGAGAGTATTTGATACCTCCTCATCCTCTTCCACGTTAATCTTGATACTAAATCCATGAATTTGGTTCCCTTCCTTAAGTCCGTGAAAACTCGAGCAAGCACGAAGGACATTGGACACAGTAAAACTCAACGGCCTCACATTCATCCTAATCATTTTGAAAAACATCTTCACTGACTCATTTCCCTCATCCATCTCAAAATACCTCCTAACAATCACATTCCACGAGACATCGTTCGGATTATCAATCTCATCGAACATCCTCCTCGCTTCACTTATGTCGCCACATTTCCCATACACATCCACAAGCGAGCTCTCCAAAATAACATTCCCACAAAACCCATATTTCACAACAAGCCCATGCACCTGCCCCGATAGCCCCAGCTCCAACAAGGTGCCACATGACGCGAGGACGCTCGCAAAAGTAACCTCACTCGCAAAAACTCCTTCCCTCCTCATCCTTGAAAACATACCTAGAGCTTCCTCCGCCTTCCCATTTTGCGAGTACGCAGTAATTATTGAATTCCATGACCCACCATCTCTTTTAGGCATTTGGTCAAACAGTTCCTCGGCATCATCCAAACAGCCACACTTCCCATAGCCCTCAATGGCCCTATTAAGCAAAAAGATTGGTGGGTTCAGATTCCACATGATTAGGTGAGATTCGAGTTTCCGTATCTCGACAATGGCTTTTTTCGAAAAACAAATTTGAAATAGGTGGGCGTAGAGAGAAAAAGGCAAGGCGACGGTGGATGAGTAGAGAATGGAGACGGCTTTTGCGAGGCCACCGAAGCGAACATGGTTAAGTATTACAAAAGTTAAGGCCTTGAGACTGGTGGGAGGTGACGAGTTGCTGCGGCGGGTGTTGGCGCTGCCGAGAAGGCCGTGAAGTATAGAAAGTCCACTCGTGCCACCCATGGAAATAGTAGGCAGAGCTCGTTGTCACCCAACCTACGGTACCGATTTAAAATAATTCCCTAATTTACATTTTATTTTTAAGTTCATTTTTCAGACTAACGTTATTTCTATTTGCATTTTTTATAAGTACATCTCACTTTAAATTTATCTCTAATAGAATTTTTAAAAAAATATTATTTACATCCATAATATATTCCAATCTTGTAATTTACTAAATTCATTCATTTAAATAACATATATCCACATAAATTTTATATATTTATCTCACTTTAAATACATCCCTAACCCTATGGATTCAATTTTTATTTTTTTTTTAAAGAATCTGTGAGGAAAATTCGTACTAGAATGCAAATATTCACAATGCATCATTCATCTATCAGTAACGACATTATTTAGCATTGACAAAGTTACGAATTTATCATAAACTTACATAAAAGTTGAATTAATAATCACTTGTGAAGAATAAAAAACACCAACAGTTTTTTCAGAAAACATATAGTAAAACAAATATCAAATGTGTAAAATTTATTTGGATCTGATTACCAGAGGAAAGTGAAAGTAGTTTAGTAATCATGTTTATAGTGAGAGTAGTTTAGTAATCATGTTTATATAACACCAAAACAATTTCAAATTAAGTCCTCCTATTACTACCACTACCCACAGTTTAACTTCTTCCTACAAATTCCCATCAACATCCTAGTATTGAAAAACTTGAATTCGTCGAAGGTCCAAATGATGCATTGTCTTGATTAACAGAATCTTTGAGAGTCAAGCATCGGCTGTTTTGGAGATGAGAGGAATGGGCAACTGAGCTTTCTGAGAGCCCTTCATCTTGGCTTCTTGCTGACGAATCTTCTGCATCTGGAGCATTCTCTCCATAACAAGCTCATACTCGCACTTTTCATAGGTGTGACGCTCAGTCTCACACTTCCA